AGTTGCTGGTTACGAGGTAGAGTATGCCCCGAAGCCTTGACCTCGGACCTACCCTAGGTGGGGACCCTCACAGAAGGAGTGTGCGGGGCGCAAACACGGTCCTCTCGCCACCAGATGACTGAAGGTGTGTGAGTCGGGTCCCTTGTCCGTAACACCTGTAATAGTGGGGAAACCATCTGTAATAAGTGGCTGCTCATCGATGATAGAGTCAGCGCACTTCACTTTACTGATAGAACCATGCAGGACAGCGTTTATATGTGCGCGTAAGCGCAAAACAAGATAATATGTTGTGGACCCGCGTAAGAACTGCTCAACGAAAAGGCCCCATGGATAGGCCAAGTGTTGGCCTGTGCCTCTCGCGGTGTTCTCGCAAGGTCCTGAACCTGGACACAAGTGAATGTGCCCGTTGCCTGAAGCCCAGAGGCTGCAAGGCCCTTCGGGAAAAGCGAGGGGGGCGCCGTTCGGGGGAGTGCCCGGGGCGCGGGTGCCGGTGTGGGTGCGGCCGGGGCGCACCCTGCGGGAGCGGCCCGCTCCGGGGAGTAAGCGACCACGCCGCCTTTGCGGCGAGGGCTTTGTTGTTGTGAACGGAAAAACAACAGTGGTTCTTGTGAATACAGAATTTCAGATGGCGTGTGCTGAAATTGATATTTTCGAAATTTTGGGCACGTATTCTGTACAATGGTTTCTTTTGTTTTCTCCCCTATCTCGGAAACTATCGTCTGATGGAGTTGCCTTTTGCACTTTGAATTTCTCTTTTCCAGAAGGCAATGCTGAAATTAATCACGGATGAGTGTGTCAATGTCACAGAAATTTGAGAGTAATAGGAGCGGTATTAATGTACTTGAGGTTTCTCGTATGCTTTGCGCTTGGAGGTCTGATTGGGAATTTGCTTGCACCTTTTGAATTTCCTTAATTTGTCTAGTTGATTACGAATTTTCAGATGCGCAGTGCTGACATTGTATTTTTCGAAATTTGGCACGTAATGGGGAGGTATTAGAAAATTTAGGTTTTTCTTTTGGTTTTCTCGCTTATCTCGAAATCTAATCGTCTGATTGGAACATTCCTGTTGCACCTTTTGAACTTTCTCTAAAAGGTTTCTACTTGTATACAGAATTTTTCAAATAGAAGAGCCTGAAAATTAATATTTTTCGAATTTGAAAAACGTAAGGGGGAGTATTAATTACTTGAGGTTTGTTTTGGTTACTTCGACTGTCTCCGAAAACTATTTGTCGGATTGGGAGTTTGCTTTGCACCTTTAATTTCTCTAATGTCTTCTACTTGTTACAGTTTTTTTTTTCAAGATGACAGTGCTGAAATTAAATTTTTCGAAATTTGGCCTCCTAATGGAAAGGTATAATAAACGTGGGTTTCATTTGTTTCACGTTATCGCAAAACTCCATACGTTTTTTAGAGTTTAATTGTGCAATTTTGAATTTCTCTTAAATTGTTCTACTTTGTATAGAGAATTAATGATGGCAAGTGCGGATATTTATATTTTTTCGAAATTTGGGCACGTAATGGGGGGGGTATCCTTATGAGGTTTCTTTGATCCTGCGCTTTAATTCGAATCCATTTCGGCGAATGGAGTTGCTTTTGCACCTTTGCACTCCCCTTAAAAATGTTCTTAACTTGTCATACAGATTTTAGACAGCTTATGTGGAAATTGAATATTTCGAATTTGGGCAAACGTAAATGGGGAAGTGATTATTTACTTGAGGGTTTTCTTCTTCTGCTTTCGCTTACTCAAAACAATTCGTTGCTCATTGAGTGTGCTTTGCACCAATGTATTCTTTTAATGTGTAAACTACTTCTAACAGAATTAACATGAATAGCCAGTGCGGAACATTAATATTTTTCGAATTTGGCAGTCAGCAGTAATTCCGTTTTGTTAACTCAATCAGTTGAGTTCCTTTTGTTATTCGTCTAACTCCGAAACAATCGTCTGATTGGAGTTTACTATGCACCAACTAAATTTTATTAATGGTTTCTACTTGATTACAGAATTAACAGATAGCAGTGCATGAAATAATTATTTTCGTTTGTAACTTGATCAATTGTGGGTTCCTTTTGGTTTTCTCGACTATCTGAAAACTATTTCGTCTGGATTAGAGTTTGCTTTGCACAAATGATTTTTTTTAATGTGTTCTACTTGTACACAAAATTATACAGATAGCCAATGCTGAAATAAATATTTTTCGAAAAGTGGCCACGTAAGCCGGAAAGTCGTTTTTGGTGCCTCGATCAGTGAGGTTCTTTTGTTAAATTCGTCCAACACGGAAAAACAATTCGTCTAAATTGGAAGTTTGCTTTGCACGCAATGCATTTCTTTAATGTTTCAACTTGTATACAGGAATTACAGAATAGCAGTGCTGAAATAACCCATTTTTCGTAATTTCGCAACTTAAG